TATATATATATATATAAAAGATGCATTTCAAACTGCTGGCCTTTTTTCCCTCTGGATTTTGGCTTGACTTTGATCCTGATGAGCACAGAGTGGTTGTCTTGTTTTCTTTCATACTGAAGTGTCCAACAAGCCAGGAACCTGTGTGAAGGTTCTCAGCCTGGAGCCTCACACGTGTCAGCTCCAGGAGGAGATGGCTCAGTTGGCAGACTGCGCCCTGCCCACCGAACTACGAGTAAGGACAGGATGGCAGGACGATCTCAGGTTTTTTTTAGCACAACGCAGCCGTTAATAATAATCCCTGTCCTGTTGACGCTCCTCAGGTTGGATTTGGCGAGCTCCCCTTTAACAGAGTCGACCACTTTCCAACTTACCCCGACATCTGCTTCAGAGTGGAGGGTTATGATTTCTTGTGCCATAAGGTACGAACCCCTCTTCCTATTCAGCTCCTGGCACTGATTCAAACGAGGTTTTCACTTCCTGCTGTGTCTGCAGGCCTTTTTCTGTGGACGCAGTGATTATTTTAAAGCCTTACTGGAGGACCACTTCAGTGAGGGACAGCAGCTGCAGTCTCAGCCCAGCACCCCTGTCATTACGTTACACAACATCTCCCATGAAGTCTTCATCCATGTTATGTACTACATCTACACTGACGAGACGGAGGTTGGTGATCGGTTTTATTCAGAATGATTCTGAGGTTATAATAAGTTACAGCTGACACAAAACACAAATTTATATCTCAGCATGATGTCGTGACGTGCTTCTTGTTAAGATGATGCATTTAGGAAAGAATTACCAGCTAAATAGGTTCAAGCTTGTTTTGCAGCTTAAAAGCTCACATCTATAATCACTTACAAACATCTGTTTGTAGAAAAGTCCAGATGAAGCCTTTGTTTTTGTTTTTGTGTGTTTTAATACAGTCCTGGTAACAGAATGTTCTGAAATAAATTTAGTGTTTGTTTTAAAAAGAGACCATAAAAAGGAAACAGCCTTTATTTTACTTAACTTTAAAATTACATTTTAGTTAAATATACCTGATATTTCATAAATGCCATCACATTTTCTTACCATATCCACAGACACATTGGTAACTGCAGTTCTCTTATGTGGACCCAAAACCAGAAAAAAGTTTTCAAGCAGATCATCTTATTATTTTTTTTCCAGAATAAAAAACCACGTTTGAATGAAAAACAACGTGTCAGATTAAAAAAACACTGTTGGGTTTCTGATCTCTCCTGTGGTTCTTGAACGCTCGTCTTTATTGTTTTGGTTCCTCTTCCTTGTCCAGCTGACGATGGAGAATGTGTTCGACGTGCTGTGCTTGGCTGACATGTACCTGCTGCCGGGGCTGAAGCGCCTCTGCGGGAAGACGCTCGCGAAGACCATATGTGAGGAAAACGTCCTGCACATGTGGAAGACGGCCAAGCTTTTCCGTCTCTCCCGGCTGGAGGATCAGTGCACAGAGTTCATGGCTAAGATCATTGAGCGGGTGGGTGTCTTCTTTTCTGTCTTCAGCTTTATTATATTATTGAGATTTTGAAGTTTGTTGGATTGGTCGTGTTTCGCATGTTTACACTTTGAGCTGGTAGCTTAGAGCAGTTTTTATCCATCGCAAATGAGGACCCCCCCCCCCCCCGAAAAAATATTTTTCTGTTTACGTACTTTAATATAAAACTTGATTGATCAGTTGACTTTGAGTAACTGCGGCCAAGAGCAATTTAGTTGAATAGCCCTGGTATAAGGCTTATTGCCAAGGAGCATTGTTGCAACAAGAACTAATCTACCAAACACATTTTCCTACTTTTTACCCATTTACAACTATTGTGTTTTTATTTAATGGTTCAAGAGATTTGACTTATTTTGTCAAGAAAATTGGTCAAAATCTAATTTTTAGCTGTTTCTACTGATTGTTTGACACCATCTGAAAGAAGAAACCTCAAGCCCTCTTCGACTTTTGGTGTTTCCCAGAGGTTATTGAAAGCAGCTTTGTGTGCAAGGGCTGTAGCAAAAATGTTGGGCTGTTTTGTTCCGAGTGCTCCAAAAAAGTGCTTCAAAACAATAATATGATAATATTTTGGACATTTCCTTCAAAAGACTCATAGATAAGGTATTTACTTCTCATATTGGCAAAATCCAATTATCCCAAAAGTTGCCACCTCTGCACTATAGCTGCCTAGTATCACACTACACTACTTGCGGCATGATCCTCGGTTTGATGTGCTGAGCAAGGATGGGGCCACAGGGGTGGCTGAGGTGGACACTGGCAACCCTTGAAAACTGATTGGCTACCATGATTAGTCACCTCCACCAGAACTGTCAAGACACTTCACACTGAAGACCACAGTGCCCATCCAGTGGAAAAAAACCCCACATTATTTATCTCATGGCTACGAGATAAATAATGCGTGGCCACGATAGTTTTACTGTGCCACCCTTCTACAGTCTGTGCCCCTGCCTGGCCCCTCTAAGGAAAATATTCTAGACACGCCCCTTTTCCGAGACACGCACACATTATAGGATTTTCATTTCTGCGTTAGAGAGCTACAGGAACTAAATTTTCACAACAAAGGAGGTTTGAACTCGGGTCGATGTTCTGGACGTTCTGCTCAAACTTTCTGAATCCCCACCTGTGTGTCCGTCACAGCTGGTGGAGCAGGCCGAGTTTGCCGAGATCATAAAGGAGGACGCCGCGTCGCTTGAGGAGCGACAGGAGACGGACTCGGTCCCGCTGGTGGACGACATCCGCTACCACATCGCCAGCAACGTGCAGACGTACAGCGAGATCGAGGAGGCCAATCAGAAACTAGCAGCCCTGGAGGAGCTGCTGACGAGCGTCAATATTGACTGCTGAGGTGGGGGAGGGAGGGAATATCAAGCATCTGAAGTGAGATGAAAAAAAAAAAAACACATACCCCTGTATGTTTCTTATGTTTATTTTATTTACAGTGTATCTCAGATGTGATGTTACTGGTGTACATTCAGAGATAGCAGCTTGTGTTAAAGCTTCTTAAAGACGAACACTTCGAACATTGCAAAAAGGATTTAGGTGTTCTAAAAGTGAAAGACAGGTTGTGAAAAATTGTATCTCATACTCGCAAATGATTATCCTTGCATTTCACCTGCATGAATTTAGTATACTTTGGTTGTGGATACTAGAATTAAAGGGATAGTTCCGATTTATTGAAGTGAGGTTACATTCAGCGGGTTTCAGGTGCAGCAGACAGCAGTCAGGGTGGTCTCTGAAGAAATGGAGAAATGGAGAAATTCTCGTTATAGATTATAGCCAAAAGTTTTAGAATTAAGACTGAATATTCAATATCTAAAACAACAGCAGAACTTTAAGTGATCGTTTTATTATAACTTTTTATGTCAGTACTTTTGCATCAGACGCTTTTTTTTATTTTTGTTGTTGGAACATATTCTCTGTTAAACACCAATTTCAAAATGAATCTTGTAAAATAGAAGTAATGTGGTGTAAGAAATCTAAAATCTGCTCTTAAACAGGGCCTCCTCTGATTATTTTCCAAATTGAAATGACCCGGAATGCGGTCTGCTGCAGGTAAGACACTGACTACTTGTGCACACGATCTCACTTTAAAGCATCAGAACTGCCTCTGTCTGGTTCTTCCACTGTTATAAATGAAATTTTCTCTAGACTATTCCTCGTGTGGACATTTTTATTTTAATGTTTTTTAAAAAAGTGAAAGAGCCCATCTGAGACGCTAAAGTATCCGAAGTTTCTGATCCCTTTGCTTCTTTCAGAAAATATTCTGTTTGTTTTCTTTTACAGATGTTACCAAAATGTATTTTTTTGTATTTAGATGTATTTTGCAGGACTTTTTCCACATTAATATTTGAACAGATGTTCCTGCTGTGGTCACATTTACACCTAAGCCCCTGTAAATCATGCACTTTGCTTTAACTTCACACGACAGAGGATTCTCCTACAAACTTTGTTTGCTGTTATGAAAAACAGAAAATAATTTGCACTTCATATTACCAATTAAATGTGGTATTGCAAGCACAAATCGTATTTGAGTTCTTAATTATGAAGGTCTTTTGCTCGTCAGGACGTATTTTAGCCGTGCTACAAGCACCAGGAGGAAAACATGGATTTTTAGTCTTTTTTTTTTTTTACTGAAAGTACTGAAATTTCTATATTGTGAAAAAAATGGCTCGAATCTGTACTTTTTTAGACCAGCTTTGCTTTTTAGTTTTACATCACGTTACAGTACGTCTTACTTCTTCTTCTATGATGTTTATGAAGCTTGTTATCTATTTCATAAATAGCTGATATTAGAATTTCTTCTGGGCAATATTAACGTGATCCTGAGTACCACCAGCGGTACTTTTACTTGTTTGAGATCCATGACTTTAAAGCAGAGTTTAAGATTATTCACATCTTCTCTTTGGTCTGAGAGTCAAAGGTGGGGTTCTCGATCAGGCAATTAACAAACAGCCACATGTGGTTCTTCATGCATGTCGTTTAGTATTTACGGTTTGTAAGTATTTACAACTGTAATGGTTTAAAAGGACATAAATCACATCATCATTTAACTATAGAGCTGTTTTCACAGACAGATCTAAAAATCAAATGGTCACAAAAAACTTTGTCAGCCTGTTTAACTTCTATTCAGACAAAAATAAATAAATAAATTAATAATAATAATAATAATAATAATAATAGTGAAAAAAAGTTGTGCTTGAATTTTCACCAGAGAAAATGTTTTTGTGACACCTGAAGGTGGCGCCACTTCTTATTTTATCACAGTGTCATCTGTTCTCAGCAGAGGTTTAATTCATCAGGTTTATTCATGTTTAGGAGCAGAAACTTTCTTGTGAGCACATCCTGAATGAAGCTGTTTGACATTCACTTATCGTAAGTTCACTACAGTGTGCGGACTGGCAGTAAATGAAGGAATGAATGGTACTATATTGATCCCAAGGAGAAATTCCAGTTCAGAACACCCTGCACAGAGCATGGATCATCATCGTGAACATCATGAGGAGGCCCTACCCTCGAGTTCCAAAGCATGTAAACAGTGATTTAGCACATGTAGGTGTGTATCACTGTAGTGGTTTCTAATTGGCTCAGCTCCAATATTTTCATTTTAACATCTCAGAGGTAAAGAGAAAGCTTTTTGTCATCTTACTGAAGCACCAAATTTTATTTAAGTAATTTAAACTAATTAATAAATGCTTTTTCATCATTTGGAAAACAAAGCTCGGCTGAATCTTTCCACAATTAAAAAATGCAAAAAAATAAACAACTTATTTGGTTTTAAATCCTGGGAAAATTTGCCTTAAAACTTGTTTTGCCTGATTCTATTTACAAGTCAAAGAGTATCTTACGATTAGCAGCACCACAACCTCAAAACAGGCCTAAAGTCTGAGCAGGACAGACAGCAGCTTCAAAACTGTGAGAGAGCACCTTTTTAAAGTGTTTTTCTTTTACCCATTTACTGAAGTCCTAAAGTTTTCCAGAGATGGTAATATTGTTACAAAGTATCTGTCATGCAGTTCTTTCACAGCTTTCCATCCAGCTAACGGGCCAAGGTCAGAGTAAGACAACATGAATCAAGCAAATATAAGAAATATAAGATCTTCCTTTGTTTTGAATGAACATTTGTGTTTGAAGAGTTGATGTTTCTCATTTATTTTTTATTTCCTAGGATTTATCTTCTTTATCTATTAATGGGGTTGCATTGAAATACACATAGTACTGATTTCATCACAAAAAACAGTCATCATGTAGCTTAATCTTCTATTATCAGTGTCCTTTTTTATTTTTTTTGCTATCTTTCCTGCATCTTTTCACTTGTACCTACATGAATTTCAAACATTTCTTTCTTCAAACTCAGGTAAGCATCTTCAACGCAGAATCTCCCACTGAAAATTCAAAACTTGATCCAAGCCAAGAGCTAATCTCTGTCAAAATTTATTGGGAAAAAAATTGGTTTTAAATGTTATCAATCAAATTAGTCTCATAGGAATACAAACTTCCTTTTCCAAAGTATATTTTATGTATTATTTATACCCTAACAACAACACAAAAAGATTACATTTAGAAGTACACGTAATTAGCCTTTTATTTTTTTAGACCTTATATTCTACTCATTGTATTTCATCACAATCCAGCAAATCAGTTTAAAAATCCATTTGTTTGATTTTAAACATAAAAGAGTGCAGACTTAAAATCGACTATTGTTGAGAAAAGACTGCACTAAGTACAGTGACAAAAGGAGAATTTCAAATATTAGATTTAGGGCTGGATGAAATGTTAATGAGGGCCAAATTCGGGCCTTAAGTTTGATACGTGCTGTAAGCATATGTCTTTTTAAACCTCACAGGCACATTCCCAGAGTAATGATGCCTAAACATGTTCAGATTTCAGTGAAAATTTCCATTACCTGTTGTTTGTTGGCATATTTAGTCAAATTTATCCCTGGAAGACAAACTCTTCTTGGGGGATTCCAGACTTAGGCTCAGGCATTTTAATGATGTTTTTTGGTATGATCTCGTCTTGAATAGAAGCTCTGTTTTAGGTCTGATTTCCATCTGGAAAAGTAATGATGGCGTGAAGAAAACAGATCCTCCCGTCAAGATTGTTTTGATTCGGCTCTCACTAAATGTGACGACAAGCCAAACAATAACTCACCCTTAAATATTTCTGCTTTACAGAAACCTCTGTCTGTGATCAATGTTTGTAGATTTTTTTATTGTTTACAATTCATGATTCATATTTTCTGTTAAATGATCAGTAGAGTCCCTGAAAACACCAGTCTGGAGGAGGCATTTCAAAGGAAACTCTTTAAATTTTTGAGTCATCTTACTGTGTCACCAAGAATTTATTACATTTATGGCTAAAGGCAAGAAGAGCGGTCTTCAAATAGAATAAGAGAGTAATCTGCCAAGCTAGATTGGCTGAGAATAATAAAAAATAATAAAAATAAATCTTATTGTGGTTTACAGGAACATCAGCACCTCTTCTTTTCTAGAATCATCCCCCTTATTCTTTTGGTTTCCTCACAATGTTTTGGTTCAGCTGTTTCCTGATCAGTGCCTCTTTATCTGCTACACAGATGACACGCAGAGCTGTGTCACTCACACCATCTGGCCTCCTGTGTTTTCAGCGTGTTTATCTCTGTTTTTTCTATATGTGGCTCACATGTTATGTTCATCACACACTGGGGCAGATGGAGGGGGGCTGCAGGGGGTCCGACAAAAACATGAGAACATGAGCAAGGCTGTAAAAAGCCAAGGGATTTGTTTCATCTTTCAGACTTAAGGTCTTTATTTTACTTTTTATTTATGGAGATAATTGAAAAAAATAACTAAAATGATGAGTTTAACAATCGAATCGTGCAGAGTAAAATAGCTTTTTTTTCCTCAGTGAGAACCATCGTCTGTAGAAAAAATTATCCTAAAGGTCGATGGCAGGCCTGGAATTTTGTCTGTCACATTGCTTTGGAAAATTTCTGTGGCATAACTCCACTTTCAGGCCTGATGTGACGATGTTTGTTATCACTAAGATTCACTGAAGTATCTAATGTGAATCTATTCTATACAATTCAAATGTACAATTTTTGAGGTGATTTTTAAAAGGTTTTCAGTATATTCTTAAATGAAATCCTGTTGTCCTGTTGAGCTCTCTGAATTATCTAAAATAATAGCTTCATCCAAACCGTCAACATGTCTGCTAGATCCCATTCCAACCAGACTGTTAAAAGAAGCATTTCCCTTAACTAATATCTATATTTTAGATGTACTTAATTTATCTTTAATAAAGGTTATGCACCACAGAGCTTTAAGGTTACTGTGATTAAACCTTTACTTAAGAAACCTGGTCTTGATTCAGGAGTTCTGGCCAACTATAGACCTATATCTAATCTCCCTTTCCTCTCAAAAGTCCTTGAGAAAATAGTTGCAAATCAACAACATAAACATCTGGATAGAAATAATCTATATGAGGAGTTTCAGTCAGGGTTTAGAGCTCATCATAGCACAGAAACAGCACTGGTTAAAGTTACTAATGATATTCTCATGGCCTCAGACAGTGGACTTGAGTCCATTCTTGTCCTGTTAGATCTCAGTGCTGCATTTGATACAATTGATCACAATATTTTATAACGTAGATTTGAACTTGATATTGGGACTACAGGAACAGCTATAAAATGGTTTGAGTCTTATTTAACTGGTAGATTTCAGTTTGATAATAATAATAATAGTTTAATAATGAATCTTCTTCTTACACCAGAGTTAGTCGTGGTGTTCCTCAGGGTTCATTGCTTGGACCAGTCCTCTTTATATATGCTTCCATCAGGTAACGTTATTAAACAGCATGGGATAAATTTCCATTATTATGCAGATGATACTCAGTTATATTTATCCATGAAACCTGATGAATCCAACCAGTTGACTTGTCTGATACACCCTGCTGAACCAGAGGACACAACAACGGGATATCCTAATTTTTAGTTACAGATTATTATCTGAGAACATGGTGAGCCCAGCAGAGAATGATTTATTTAAAAAAAAAAGTTTTCTTCTGCACACATCTTACAGAACGTTTTAATTGGCTCTTTGAGCAACAAAAATCAAATAATGCATAAAAATTTGTAATAATGAACATACAATTAATATTTTTTGCTCTAAATTTGTCCTTTAAGTTCACAGAAATCGTTTTTAAACACATTAGATTATATTTCTCATGTTGCAAATGATAGCTTTCCGTATTCAGCTCACTTGTTTTGGACATTTAAAAATTGAGAGGAGAAATATTTCTGAGAGTAGTTTAAATTATTTAACAGTGTTAAATATAGATGTATATTAGTTTTGGCAGTCACATTAAAGAATGGTCTTTTTATGGCAAGTAGAAAACGGAAAAAAAAATCAGCATTTGGATTTAAAAACTAATTAAAACCTATGTGGCTGCTCATCTTTTTTGTGGAGGTTTCGAACCATTCCTTTCTACTTTCACCAAAGTGCTGCTCAGGATGGCAGACAGCAACAAAGTGAACATTTCATG